TTTGTCTGATTCATCAAAATTTCAGTGCCCTTGCAGCTACTAGCTGATGTCCACTTCTATTACTCCTAGCTGTCCCAAGATACCATCTACTGTTCCACAAGTTACTTCTACATTAAGAGCACAGGCCAGGCAGTTATTTGCTTTAACGAATTTGGTGGAAATCACTTCCACTAAAGTCATAAGTAAAAGACAGAAGGAATTAAATTTATCGGAAGTTTCTTCCACTAATGAAAGAAAAACATGTAAAGGCATGCTCTTTAATAGCATATCACTGGTCTGCAAGCTAGGAACACTGCTCGATAGAGAACAATATCTACAGTGCCTCATTGAGATGTGGAGATGACCCTGGGCTCTTGAAAGCTATACCACCACATCATTGGCTCTGGTGAGTGCTATGAAGTGGAAAAAGGAGGTGTAGGCCCAGAAGATGGGCTGTGTAACTAGCTTAATTTAGAGTCTCATTTCCAGGCTAGTTAATGGGTGGTGAATTTTTTATATACAACATGTCTAAAAGAATGTTTACTAAGTCCTGCAGTCTGCATCTGTGAAATAAAGTACCCATACCAGCGAAATTATATGTAATTCCTTCTCTGCCCTGCTTCCCTCCCTCACTAATCCTTCATGTATGGAAGCAAGCCAACCCCAAGCTTCCATATACTTAACTAGAATGTCCACTGAGCATGCTCCAAAAAGGGAGGCTAGGTGCATGCTCAGTAAATATTCCAGTCAAGCACATGGAAACTGGGGAGGGCAATTGGGGAAAGGAATAGAGACAAAAGAGTCCTAGACCCAACTCTCTGAAGTCCTGAAGTGAACAAATACAGTTAGAGTTACTTGCAAAAATTAAAAAAAAACCACTAAACAAAGATGCATTCTAGACCCTAGAAGAAATCAGAGAAGCTCTTTGAAATGGCACACGATTTTCATGCTCCTTGAGGGATTTCTTACTATTGCCAAATACCATTTTCTGTGTCATTGTATGTGTATGTTGTCTTTAGAAAATGCAAAAAAAGAACATCTCTACAATTAAGAATTTTTTTTAAAATTTTTAGGCAATTGGGGTTAAGTGACTTGCCCAGGGTCACACAGCTAGTAAATGTTAAGTGTTTGGTCTGAGTGCGGATTTAAAATCAGATCCTCCTGACTTCAGGGCCAGTGCTCTATCCACTGCGCCACCTAGCTGCCCCATATAATTAGAATTTTTAAACTAAGTTTTTTGAATATTTTAAAATCAGAGGATCATATATTGAGAACTAGAAGGAATTTTGTCTAACTCACTCATTTGTAATTCAGAATGATGAGGCCCGTAGAGGAGGTCAAGTGACTTGTTTAATGTCAATTAATGTTGTTGAGCTGGGATTTGAACCTAGTCCTTTAATGCCAAATCTACTATTCTTTTTCCTGTACCACAAAATTTTGAACTAAAAAATTAAAATGTGGACACCAACCTAATTATAATTTTTATATTGATGATTCACTTGCCTGGACATCATAAGGGAATGAGAGAAAATTCCTAAGTTAACTTTCCAGATAATTTGGCACTTATTGTCATAAGTGCCCAAACTTGTTTTATTTGCATTGTTTTTGGTGAAAATATTTCTAAAATGTATCACATACTTCTCTTCCAGTGTGAAGGTTACTAAGCATGGTTTAACATTTTCTTAATGATTCTGACTCATCGTTCCTAAGTTCAGTTCTTACATTGTGTTACAATACGATGATGCCTTCTGGGGCTTTGGTGGTTTATGAAATCTCCTTGGAGGTTTTTGTTTTTGTTTTGTTTTTTGCCATCTTGTTCATCATCAAACTGTTAGTTGATAACTTTTGCTCTGATCAGTCTTCTAATATAGTTTCACATCTTAAAATTTGCTGCTTCTGATCTTCTAATAAGCACACTTATTAAAATGGAACTATATCTAAAGTTAGAATAAATAGGTTCTGAGTGAAGACCTTGAGTGGCTTTTCTGTGAGTAAAGGAAGCGTTGAGATTTTTCAAGCACTTTGCAAATCGATCTTGGCTACATGGAAGTTTTTTTCTTTCTTTGTCCCTAGTATCTTGTTTCCAGATATATGACCCCTAATTAACTGACTAATGAAGACTATGCAGATTCAGATATTTGAGAAGGAAATCTGGGAAGTCGTATTTTCCTGTCTTTGCTTACTATTTTGGGAAATACTAATGTGGCTTTGTGATTTCATCAATGTTCAGTATTCCTTCCAATAATAAAAATGCCTACCCATCCTATGCTATTCTTATCTATATCAGGCCATAAGTTTGCCACAAGGCAATGTGGTGGAGGTTTTCACTATTTTTTTTTCTTCCAACATTATGAAGGTACCATTGGAACATTCTGACAATCCATGTTATCCCTTGCCATGTGACAAACTCATCTTCTCCTCCTATCATGTAATTCTTTGACACCATAATTTACTCCTGTTCTTTGAAATTCCTCACTGGTCCTGTGTTTTCACTCACTCACATTCACCATGTGCCTTTCCATTGTCCTCTGTGTGGTATTTATTTTTAGTTTTTTGGAGACAGCAATAGCCTAGGTCCCACTGCCATTTAGCAACACTGATAACATGTTAATATTAAAAAAGATGTGGATTTGGGGAAAGTAAAGAGCTTTGCATTTTCCTGAAAGCATTCTTGACCACTGTCTTTTTCCTGTCCGACTCTGGGCCCAGCTTATTATCCATCTAATTTAATTAGCTTTATCATCACTGGTTTGCCATACCAGTACATGACGGAGGAAGCCTGGTAGAGAAGAAAAAATCCTAGCTCTGTAGTTAGAACACCTGGGTCCAAATCCTGTATTTGATGTTATCTATGTGACCTTGGGGAAGTCACACAGCTATCTTGGACCTCACTTTCTTCATGAGGAAAACAAAGGGGGTGGGTTTGCATGGTCTCTTGGGTCCTTTCTAGTTCTATATCTATGATATATGACTTGGGCTTTATAGTATGACTGTGTAAACAAGAAAATCCATGAAAACCCTTATATGTTCCGGTAATTACATTTTGGGAAAGAGTATCTGAAGCAAATGCCATGAACACTACCACTGCTTTGTGCTTCCTAGCTTCTCCACCTCTTCCTTACCATTAACTTCTCTAACTCTGATGAAACTTTCTTTGCATAACATGTTTTATGACTGTGAAAAGTAGCCTCCATTTACTACCAAACCATCTCGCATCAGAAGTCCTTCCTCTTATCTAGTATCTCAATAACATACACTCCTGCTTCTCTTAATGTTGTTTCACCCAATGTTAAGTTTTCATGGAATCAATAAAAGATATCAGGTGGCTATACGTGTAGGGATTTGTCTTGTGTCTAAGCCTGCTCTCAAATGTTTAAGGAAAGAGGAAAAGGACTTGATCCAAACTATATAAACTCACAGGAAATCTTCTCTTAATGAAACATAATAGATGGAACTCTTTTTATTATCAGTTATTTCCATTAGGATTGTCCTAAGAGTTATGGTACCCTCTTTGGTCTCTAAGAAGGCTAAGTGGTAGTCTCAAAACTAATGTACTTTAAGAACAGGGATAAGAATGAAATTGTTATGGTCCCTCCCCCATCTCCTTTAGTTACTCCTAAAATGATATTTTTTCCATCTTTTCAGAATCCCCTGATGTTTTTGAATGGAGGTTTCCCCATAAAATGAAACCTTCCAACATAATAATAGTTTATTGTAGAACAAAGTTGACAGAGTATTCAGATATGTTTTGTGTGTGATTAAATAAGTTGGGGGGGCCTTTACTTAAGGATTTTGCAAATTATACACCATTGCAGGTTATCCCTTGTGTTCCTTTGACCTCCTTCCCTCCTGTCCTCCCTCCTCCTTCTCTCTACCTCCCTCCCCCATTTCTTTGTGTGTGTGTGTGTGTGTGTGTGTGTGTGTGTGTGTGTGTGTGTGGTGTATAGCATATATATATATATATATATATATACATATATATGTATTTATATATATGTATGTATGTATATATATATATGTATGTATTTATATATGTATATGTCAGAGAATATAGACATATGTAAAACTGGAAGAGGAATGAATAATAAGCAGCCACTAGAAACTTTTGTTGAGCAATAATGACCTGTAGATCTCTACTTGACCCCTGCTTCAAGTATTTCATATGATGTAAGTAGTAAAAAAAAAAAATTCCTGACATTTATCTTCTGGTAGAAAAAGTAGCTCATTCATATGTTCAGTTAATGAGGTAACAAAATTGATTTTGCTCCATGAAAAGCTGTGGCATTTCTATCAGCAAATCAAATGTCATGAATCTAGTCAGTATTATCCCCACATCAAGGGATGATAAGCAATGTCCTGCTAGCATCAGAGTCAGAAGTTTTGAGTTCTATTCCTAACCCTACCATAAGCTACCTAGTCAATTTAAACAATTCAGATAAATTCTTGGCATCCCAGTTTCTTCATATGAAAAAAGAAAGAGTTGGATTATATGATCCCTAACATCTCTTCCATTGCTATCTTTAACTATCTAATAACCCTGACTGAATTTTCTTATCTTCATAAATAGCTGGCTGATTTATTTTTAGAAAACTGCTGGATTCTTCTCCTCCTGTACTCCTCCTGTACTCTTTGTATCCCTGACTGCCAGAAAAAGTCATCAAATTTGAGATTCTATTCAATTCTAACTATGTAATCAGACTTAGAATTACTTCTAGACTTAGTTTCATAGGGTGATATGGCTATCACCAAGTGCCTAGTCTACTGGTGATTGACCTTTCCATACATAGCTAGACTGGATCTCAGAAAATAAACCTTGTCTGTTGTTAGGACCCTATTTTCTAGCATGTTAGATGCTTTTCTAGAGCATAGACAATACAAAACAATTGAAGGGGGTTTGAGCTATCAATGTCACATGATTAGGAATTGCAATAGGAAAGAACTTTATCAGACTGTAAGTAAATAGTGGTGTTGGGGACACATTAAGTTTGGATTCATCCTGATTTCTTATTTTTTCCCCTCAGGCTTTCCCTCCAAATGCAATCACCATCTTCATTTACTGCAGTTCTGTGACCATATTCTTCACAGTAATAAAGCTGATCAGTTACCGTCTGCACCTTATGTTTGATGAAGGAGAAGTGATTCAGCAAAGGAGCTCCTTAAATACTGAAAGACAGAGTAAAGATAAAGAGGCTAATAGTGAAAATATAATTCATCACAAGAGTCCAAGGTAACTAGAGAATCATTCTGTAATGCAATACTTATTTTGATGGTTTCATTTTCCCTTATCCATTGATTCAGTTTGTAAACCTATGCTTAGTTGACATGACTATATTTACATATATCTGATGTTAGTTATATTTGTAATTATATGTTACATGTAATTCTATGTACATATTTATCCCCCTTCTTTTTCTCCAGAAAAAAATCATATAAATACAAAACATTTTTCAGCAATTATTAATTTCTTTTTTAATTTTATTTATCATCTATTATTTATTTGTTGTTTATTTATTATTTATGATAAGGATTAGAATTTGATCTAAAAATTGGTTGTGACAGATTATTTTACTTTGGTATTATTTTTCTAATTCAGTGCTTTAAATTTGCCTTGAAATTCTAAAGAGTAAGAACAAAGTACCTGTTCATGTTTATATATGATGACAAAAGAGACTGGAAGAAATTGGTTTTGTTATAGAACCATGAAAATTATCCTGGTTTTTTTTTAGCAATATTTCTGCTTTAATTTTTTCTCTTCATGTTTTTGCATCAGCAATAATAGACAGACCAATAATGGGAAAATAGAAGAGGTCAATAGAAATCTCTCTACCCCTCCACTCCGCTGTAGCTCAAGAGGACACAGCATAAATTCTCATCATTCTTCTGGCTTATTGGTTAGTATCTTCTTTTACTATATAATTGTTCTCACTGTATTTCAGAGTTCATTTTCACCTTTTAACAAGACTATATATTGGAGATTTATGCTATGTGGTGCTGTTGTATGTGTACTGATTTGTATTCATTTGAAGACAGAATCATCTGCCTGATAAATAAAAGTGGACTCACGTAGCTATTAGTGTCAATCTTGAAGTCATGAAGACTTGAGCTCAAATGCTATATATATATATTGCAAATTTACCAGCAGTACATTTTGTTGAAATGTGTGATGGGAAGCAAAGTAGTAGCTCTTGGAGACAGGATGGCCTATGTTCAAATCCTGACTCTGATATATATTGGCTGTGTAACCCTGGGCAAGTCACTAAAAAGCTCTGCCCCCAAGTGGCACTGTTGTTGTAGAACAAGTGTCAATTTGCATTGGTGGAAAGAATTTCATCATTCAGGGGTTTCCTACATCAATGAAATCATGGGCCCAGACCAAAAACCATGTAAAAGCCAAATATTATTATTATTGTTGTTATCTAATAAGACTTATTTTTCTGCCTTGTAAAGAGAGAAAATATGTCTGCAAACGAGTTTTTCACATGTTAATTTAAATTACTAGTCATGGATTTTTAGGCCCTTACAAATTGACTTCTTACTATAAATGTACGGTGCCCTCATATTCTCAAGCTATTAAAGTTTAACATTGCACTAAAATTTGGAGGATACTTTTAGAAATTTTCTTCTCTGCACTTGCAGTGTTCTCAACCTTGACAGGAAAAACTTAGGTATGATCCTTCACATTCTCCTCTTCCTCACCTTGGAATCATCAATTATGCAATTCTTTGTACTTAGAATGCCTCCTGTACTTCTTTCCATAAAGCCTCATTCCTTCTTCCCTTCAAAATCCTACAATCCTACAATTTATATCCTTTTGAAAATAACTTCTGGTTCTCATTCCTGCAAATCACTCCACTATATTTCTGTCCTATCCTTTTTCCTTCTCACTTCTTAAAATAATTTGTGCATGTCTCTATATTTGCACAGCTATAATTAATTGTGTAGATATGAATATATCTGTGATAGTCTTGCTTTACCCACTGGATCATAAGCTTGTCAATGATAGGGACTATACTGTCTGCCCCCTACAGCTCTTTGCAAACACCATCTGCTCAATAAATGACTCGTAAACTCCTGATAAAAATATATGCAATTTAAGTAATATTGATTTTTTTTCCATTTCTTTTGTATAGGAATTGCCAGCACAAGAGACAGTTGAAGATCTGAAAGGTATAGTGTCTTTATTGTCCATAGGTAGATAGATAAATAAAACATTTATTAAGCATTTACTATGTGCCAGGCACTGTGCTAAGCACTGGGGATATAATCGTAATGGTTAAAAGAAGACAGACCCCTACCCTCAAAGAGTTTACATTTTAATGGATGAAGACAGTAAATACAAGAGGACTGGAAAACAGGAAGGAAGAGATGCCCTTGTAGAGAAAGCCACGATGCACAGTCCTGAAAATCAGGAGGAGAGCCTGGAGAGGAATGAGTTCAATGATGAATAATTATTTTAGCTCTTTTTTAAATATGTTATTTGGTGTAAAGGCAGCTAGGTAGCACAGTGGATAGAGTGCTGGGCCTGGAGTCAAAAAGATTCATCTTTTTGAGTTCAAATCCAGCCTCAGACACTTACTATATGTGGGACCCTAGCAAAGTCACTTAACCCTGTTTGCCTCAGTTACTCATCTGCAAAAGGAGCTGGAGAAGGAAATGGCAAATCACTTCTGTATCTTTGCCAAGAAGACAACGAATGGGATCACAAAGAGTTGGACATGATTGAAATGACCAAACAAACAACAACAATTCAGTTTAAACCTTTCTTATCAGAAATTATATGTCATGTTCAAATGTGTTTAGATCAGTTTACTAGTCAAAATTATTGCCCCAGAAACACTGTCCAATGACAAATGGAAATAGTGTCACTAAATCACTGATGTCAAGTATTTTTCCTGTGGCATCTACTTTGAAAAATGAGTGAGACAAATTATGTAGCATTCTGGTTAGTTCATCTTTAAAAGGTTATTGCTTCCACCAGTCTCTGAAAACTTTCCTTATTTAAAAAAATAATTTGCATAGATAAATAATTCTTGAGAAGTACATTGAGAAGTGGATATAGAACTGGCCTCAGAATCAGGTTGACCTGGTTTCAAGTCCTGCTTCTAATACATGATAGCTGTGACCATGAACAAGAGATTTAGCCTCTTAGTGGCCCCAGGCATCAGCTTGGGATCTTTGGGATCCCAAATTGCTCATACTTCCTAACATTATTGTCTCTGAGTGTTTGTTCTGTTTTCCTTCATTTCACTAAAAAAACAATCGTTTCAGTATGCCTCCCTTCATTCTCAAATGGTACCATATAACTGATAAGAGATTCCTTCTACTAACAGGAGCCATGCTGGTTTTCTTAACATAGCTTCCTTTTTGCGGTATGAATATATGAGTGAGTACACTAATTCACAGCATGATGCAGATAAGATTCAGGGGCTACTTCCCTCTCTATATATTGCTAGGGAAGCTTTTTAGTTGTATGAAATTCTTCTCAAGTAAATGTAGGTCCAAGTTCTGAATACTTTTTAGATTATCAATCCACAGATATATACGGTTTCAAAATAAGTTCACATTTTACTGCTTATCTTTATATCTGGGACAAGCTCACAGAATACATTGTTTTTTTAATAAATCTCTCAAAGTCTGTGATGGAACATTGTAGTCTATTAAGGTAGAAGATCTTATTTCCAAATGACTGCAAATATATTCACTCACCAACGTTCTTGTAATGTTCTTGAGTACAGTTGCATAATAAAAGAATAATTTCACTGAGGCTTATTAGTCGATTGATCTTGGGGAAGGGATCAGGCTCTCATGTCATCAATAATGTTCTTGAGTATAGTTGCATAATAAAAGATAATTTCACTGAGGCTTATTAGTCGATTGATCTTGGGGAAGGGATCAGGCTCTCATGTCATCAATACAAGCAGGGCATTCACATGTAGGTACATATTAATAATATAGCTCTGTGGTGTTATTGAGTTCATCAAAGTCAACTATGTCATCCCAACGGAAAACTGATTGCAAGATTAGAAATGTTGAAGAATAGCAGGTTTATGTGCTATTACATTGTTTTGAAATGATCAATATAAACATTTATCAAAATCAGCCAAACTGGCATTGTATTCAGCAGTCATTCCACAAGAATTTCATGAGTCCCTGCTTCATACCCAATGTTGTCTTGGGCTCTGGGATGATTGCAAAGTAATGTAAAAGACAGTTGATATACTAACTATTGTAGTTAGAGAAATAAGAAATGCCTATGTGAAATACTCTCAGCATGGTGCAGGAGATTTGGAGTCAGAATTTCTGAGTTTGAATCCTAGTTAATCACATTTCTTCTAAATATTTGACCTTAGGCAAGTCATACAGATTTTTGGGCCCCAGTTTTTTCATCTTAAAAATAAATGGAGTAGTTGTAAAATGATAGGATCACTAAGAACCCTTGAAACAATCATTTGAACAAACCAGTATTTCTTTTTATATTTTTAATTTTTAAAATTTTGTTCGTTTATTTGTTTTTGGTTTTCAACATTCACTTTTACAAAATTTTGAGTTCGAGAATTTTTCCTCCCCATCCTTTCCCCCTTCCCCACAACAGAGTGCAGTCTGATGTGGGCTTTGGATGTACAAACATATTAAACATACCGAAAAGGAATACTTCAGTATTAGAAACTTTGGAATGGAGGAGATAGTGAGGAATGATGTCAAAGGGTTTTGAGATGAAAAGAATGGGAAAAGAGTAAGTTCAAATCTTTGTCACTTTTCAGTTGTGTCCAACTTTTCATGACCCTTGTTGGGGTTTTCTTGGCAAAGATACTGGAGTGTTTTACCATTTCATTCTCCAGTTCATTTTACAGATGAGAAAACTGAGGGTACCCAAGGTCACACTAGCTAGTAAGTATGTGGGGCCAGATTTGAACTCAGGAAGATGAGTCTTCCTGATTCTAAGTCTAGCGCTCTATCCACTGTACCACCTAGCTGCGCCCAAGCTCAAATCTAATGACCTTAATTTTCTCAGTAAAGAAACAGATGAGGTCCTCCACTGAGAGAATGAGGGTAGAGAGAGGGAGGCATTGAAGGCTAGAGGAGAGAAGAGAAGGAACAAACCAGTATTTCAAGACATGTCACAAAGCAGCACATAATTAAAGACAAATCAATGGGCAGACACTTATCTATGTATAATACTCTACTCTGAGTCCTCTTCTATTCTTTCTGTGTGCTCTCTCATTTCATTTCATCAGCTCCCATAGATTTAGTTACTATCTCCATATAGAGGATTCTCAAATATGTGTGTGCATTATACATCTGTTTGTGTGTGTGTGTGTGTGTGTATGTGTTCCTAGTCTCTCTGCTGATGTCCATTCCTGCAATTCCAACTGACTATTGGATATTTCAAATTGAACATCCCAGGCTCATCATATCTAAAAAAAGAACTCATATTTTCCCCCAAAACCATTTCCCAATTTCCCTTTTTATATCAAGGGTAATACTATCCTATCAGTTAGTTGGGTTCAATTTGTGTTATCCTTGACTCATCCCTTTCCTTCATGTCACACATCTGGTTAATTGTTAGATTTTGCTATTTTTACTTTCACACTACCTTTCACATCCCCCCCCATTTCTAAACCCACAAAGCCACCCTGTTGTTTTCTTCCCTTATCATCTGCAGTAGCTTTCTAATTGATAGGATATAAGTTCATTTAAAGTAAGAATTCTTCTTTCTTCCTTCCTTCCTTCTCCCCTTCCTTCTTTCATTCCTTCCTTCCTTCCTTCCTTCTTCCTCCTTCCTTCCTTCCTTCCTTCCTTCCTTCCTTCCTTCCTTCTTCCTTCCTTCCTTTCCTCCTTCCTTTCTTCCTTCCTGCTTTCTTGGTATTTTTATCCCCAGCGTGTAACATGATATCTGGAACATAGTAGTAAACTACAATAACTTCCTATTGATTCTAAGACCAATCATAAGCTCCTTTGTATAATTTTTAAAGCTTGTTACCCCTTGGCCCAGGCTAACATTTTGAATCTTGTTACACATTCTTCCCACTCCCACACTCTATGGTCCAGCTAAATTAACCTTTTGATGTTCTTTCCATGACAATCCATCTTCTGTCTTTTGCACTGGCTGTCCCTCATACCTAGAATATACTCCCATTTCACTTCTGCCTCCTAATATTCCCTATGTTCTTCAGAAGCCTTTCCTGATCTCCCCAGCTATTAATGCCTTCCACTTTTCCAAAATTACTTTGTAATTATCTTGTATGTGTTTCATATTTATGTGCCCACTGTCTCCCTTGATAGAAAATATATTTAATTTGTATCTTTTTATCTCCAGGGCTAGAACCATGCCTAACAAATATCAAGAATAGTATATAAGCCTGATGGACACTTAATAAATACTTGTTTATTGATTGATTGAAGGCATTGTGCTAATTGCTAGGAAAAGCAAGAGGTATGAGGTAGAAGCTGATATTAAAGAAATTAGACTCTCTTTGGAAAGCTAAATTAAATGTCAGAATTAGTTAACAACCAAAAAGCTTCACATACGGTAATAATGTCAAATGAATGCTATCACTTTGGAGGCAAGAGAGATCACATCTAACTGGGGTAGTAAGGAGAGCATTCACAGAGGACATGGAGCTAAAGCAAGGTTTGCATGAAGGACAGGATTTGGATGAAACGGAGAGAAGGGGGAGAGGCTTCAAGGCAAGGAGAATGGTATCTTTCCTGGTCCTCCTAGCTGCTCATGTCTCTCCTCCCAAATAACCTTGCATTTACCTTGTGCGTACTTATGGATGTACTCGTTGTTTCCTTCTTTAGAATGTCAGGACTTTGAATGCAAAACTTTCATTTTTGTCTTCCTCTCCCCAGCAGGTAGCGGTGTTCAGCATGTGGTAGACCCTTAATCCATTTGCTTGTTTGCTTGTTTGGTAGCAACCAATGAATCAATTAACCTTTCAGTTAACATTAGAGTGAAGATTACCTGCAGGGAGACTTGTGGGAGATAAATTAGGAAGGAAGCCTAGGCCTGGGTTTGAGAGCCTTGAATGACAACATAGGTAATGTTTGTACTTTATTCTGTAAATCAGTTGTCTACCATCCCAGTATTAATACATTAAAATAACTAAATTTCCTGCTGTGATTCTCTTTGCCAGCTCATTGGCACAGTTCTTACTTGGTCAAGT